CCCCCCTCCCCCCTTCAAACACTTTAATTCCATTTTTACATTTTCTCATATTTTTTTCCTTTTCCCTTGTTCCCCCTTCTGTATCCTTCTCACTGTCCCTACACCTTTGGTCCTTTTCTTCCTATTTGCTAAGTGTTTTAAAAAAAATTTTTTTTTTTTTTTTGTACCAGGGATCAAACTTGGGTCCTTGCACTTGCAAGGCAGGCAGTGGAACCACTGAGCTAAATCCCTGGCCCTGTTTCTTCTCAACACAGTTATTTTTGTTGACTTTCATAAGCATATGGAATATCATTATAGTTATGTTTTAATATCCTTGCCTATTGATTGGTTTTATCTTCTGAAACATTTGTTATTTTTACTTAACTGATTTTCCCCCCTTCATGAAGATTGTATTTTCTTGCCTTTTTCATGGTATGCCTGGTAATTATTTTTTCATATCCAAAAATTTATTTACTTGACAAAAATACAAAGTGATGTTATTAAAAATAGAGAGAGAACCCTGATTAGTGAAGGCTAAAGCTTATACATATTTAAAAAGCTGTCAAATTTCATTATAATAATCACAAATGCAGTTAAAAAATTGCAATGTTTTAATTAATATACTTAATAACTCCTCTAGAAAACTTTCTTTTCCACCCTATTACCTATTTTTATTTTGCTTTATTTATATACATATTTTTTTCATATAAGAGAAACCATGTGATTCTTAAGCTGTGACCTTAAGGTGCATCTATTTTCCTTTAAGTTTATTTTTCTTTATAGCAGAGTAATACTCCATTGTGTATAAGTGCTATATTTTCTTTATCCATTTTCTGTTGATGGACATATATAGACTATTTCCAGGATTTTGTTATTATAAATTGTGTTACTATGAACATGAGTATACATGTATCACTGTAATATGATGTCTTTAACTTTTTTAGGAAATACCTCGAAAGAGAATGGCATTTCTAGTTTAAGTTTTTTGAGGAATCCCCATACTGATTTCCATATTGATTGTACTAGTTTACATTCCCACCAATGGTGTAAAAGAGTTTCCTTTTCACTCCAGCCTTACCAGCATTTATTGATTTCTTGATGATAGCCATTCTTGCTGGCGTACAATGATCTAAGGGTTGTTTTAATTTGCACTTCTCTCATTGCCAGAGATGTAAAAAATTGGTCAAGTGCAAGTGGTAGCAAGGTTTTATATTTATTAAAAGTATGAAATGAAATAGGCTTGGCAGAGTGAGTTTGGGACAAGTAAAATAGGAAAAGAATTACACCCTACAGTGTGAAGGTGGACCACCATGCAAGTGAGAACACAGCTCAATGGCAACTGTCCTTTGTTTACCTTCCACTCCTCAGGCTAATATCAGGTCTAGGCCATCTTACCCAAAACTGCACAGAAGAGGTCCATGTTCAAGGATTTGGGAACTGTTCTGTGCACGTGTCCTCGGATTTTGTAATGAATAGGTCATGCGTACTTCCCCAGCCAGCTTTGCCTCACCCTAATCTCTTGTCTCACCTGGAGTCCTAACCATGGGTTCAGCTAGTCACTAACAGTCAGTGTCTCTTTCCAAGTGACTGCCAGGATGCTCAGCTCTCAGGTGAAGGGACTTATGTCCCTTCATGGTCACCAGAACTTTACAGGCCACTTAGGTTCACATGCTCAGTTTCATTGGCTTGCCACTGACCAAAACAAAAGAGGCCCTATATTTAGGTAAAAAGGAGAAAGGACTTACTCAAAGCTAGCTCTGAGGAGATAGAGGGGCCTATTTGTCTCAAATCACCATCTCACCTTTTACAGCTGGTCAAGTGCCTTTTATAGTAAAGAAAAGAAGGGAGAGGGAACACAGAGAGTATTCACTCCACATTTACTTTATCACTGTCAGCCATCTTCAGTTCTCTGTCCCCTTTCTTATGAAAGGAAACTGGGATCTAGGCTTCTGGGTGTCAGCATCTGCATATTCTGTTCCTTCATCTAGGCTGAGGAGAGGTGGAGGAAAGCTGTTTATGCCCTAGGCCTCAGGAAGTCACTTGTCTCTAAAGGTTAAAAGAAAACAAAACTTTTAAAGTTCCATTTTGTAGTGCTGGTTACAAGATTAGAAAGGGAAGGGTTAGGAACCTACATATCTTGAATCACTAATTAGTTGAGCATTATGTTTTTCACAGATCTCACCTGTACCTCCAACATCTCAGGTTATTTCAAGAACATGTTACAGCTTAGAGAGAAA